TAATTTATTTTTGTTTTAGTTAAAGGGGTATCGTTTAAAATACATGAATTTGCAGATTATTATTTTTGATTGATTGATTACGTTCATGTTCTTATTTTACAAATAAATCAGACGTTACTCAACAGTTACTCAGTACATGAGTAGTTTTTTCACCAAATATTCTTTTACTCTTACTCAAGTAATTATTTTTATGACTACTTTTTACTTTTACTTGAGTAATATTTTTCTAAAGTATCAGTACTCTTACTTGAGTACAATATTTGGCTACTCTACCCACCTCTGATCCCTACATTTCACTGATAACACTGATTTGTCAAACAGCCAAGCAGAGGATAAGTGTTGGAAGATCCACCCCTGGCTCAAGATGTTTCGCAAAAACAATTCCTGGAAGTCACCCCAGAGGAGCACAACTCCTGTTCCTGTGTGTGTGTGTGTGTGTGTGTGTGCCTGTACCTGTTCTGGCAGACCATAATGCTTGCATTGGTAATTGCATGGTTGCTCTATCGTTGCAACTGTAAACTACTTGAAGTCAACAAGCCAATGAAATAAAGGAGCTTCCAGGCAGAGGTGGCATCAAGCCTTATTGTCTTGCACTCACAAAGGGGTTGCCCATCACTCAGCACCACATCTCCACCTCCACCACCCAAGGACAGTGGTGTAGTGGAGGGTATACTCAGGTATATGGGATATACCCACTTCTTTTTCTATCCAGTTACAGTATACCCACCTATTAGCTAAACATCCACTGTAATATATAGGAGAGTATGCCCACTTCCTCATCAGTAACCTACCTATCTACCTAGTAGTACACCCATCTCATCAGTTAACACTACACCACTGCCCAAGAGAGTTTGATTTGGAGTTCCTGATGATGTTCGCTTGGACCAAGTTGCACACTGGCCTGTGAAATGTGATAGGCAGGGCCGCTGCAAATTATGCAAGATCATTACAACCAAGACCCTCTGTGAGAAATGTGATGTGTGTCTTTGCTTCATGGAAGAAAGAAATTGCTTCAACTGTTACCATTCAGCCTAGGCTAAACTACCATAAATGGTGCTAACAACAGTTCAAACATGATGTTGTTGACACAAAAGAATGTTTTGCCCTTTTAATGCACTTTGTGTTTGACCAAGTGTAATAGTAATGTCAGTTTTTCACTTTTTTACAGCTACAGTTATTTGTGAAGAAGACCTCCAATATGCGGCGGTGTGCAAATTTTTGTGTTGTAAAACAACTCTAAGGAGGATTTTGTGGTTGAACCCCAGAGGTAAAGTTATTATTTTGACACACTTGTGGAAATCCAAATAAAAAGACCTAAGTGTGTTACTAAGCAAGAAAAGACTGTCAAGCAAACTCATTTTGTATTGAGGATTAAATTTACCATTAACGCCCAATGTGACGTATGAGTCACTTTACAGATCTTTGACACTGGGGGGTGACATTGTTTTTTAAATGTCAGGAATGTTTTCTTTGGGATCTTTTTAGTCAGAATTATGACCCCCATAATTTTCCTTCGAGGAGAAATAGGTGTGGGATCTTATAGGTTAAAACTGCTTTATTTCTTTGAACAATCTCTACAAGGACATTTCTCTGCCTCCTGAATGTATGACAAATAATTCTGCTCTATACTGTGCTCTGGTATCCACAAATATTGGTCTGCTTGCTGCATATCAGGGCTATTAAGAACATGATGCTGCACAGCAACTCTGCAGAACAATGATCTCTCAGACCTGCACAAAACTAACAGACTCAACCAAACAAAGTTAAATAGCACTAGAGGTAAGAATAAAATTTGTATTTTTGATTTGAGGTGAACTGTCCCTTAAAGAAGGTATTAAAGTTATTACAAGAAATTAACAGATAAAAAGAAGATAGTAATAAAAGGCTTAGATGTTTTATATATTTTTAGATATTAAGTATATATATATATATTTCTTGTTTTGAATATTGAATACTCTTTTATTTAGCTAGAATAAAAAAATACAAGTGTCTATCTCTGCGCAAAAAATCATTTTTCATTTAAAATTGTGCAGTCATTCCTTCCCTTATGTAGGCCCACATCCGCCTCTGTCTCTTAGTCCATTGTTCCCGTGTAACAGGCTGATTTTTCATCTAAGAAACAGTTTTCATTTTCCCAGAGTATACCTCTATTATCCCAACATATGATACGCTGGAATGACTGATAAAACAGTTATTTTGCTTTTAATCTTCTCCTGAAATTCCTGCAGTTTTGGAGAATACCCAAACACATGCGTATAGTGTGTGTTTTTAGTTTTCAGGAAAGGAATAAAACTTAAACAATAATGAGCAGAGCAGAGTGACAGAATTTTATTGGTAATATATTGAAAAGGTTTAGAGTTTTGTTGTTAGTCAAGACTCTCAGCAAAAATATCAACCTCATTTAACTGTAATAAAAACAGTTACAGTTACAGTTAGGAGTGGATACAGTAACAGAAAAACCTACACCATTACACAGAATTCAACACAATAATGCTGCAATAAAAGATGCATTCTGTTCTTTATGATCTTCATAGTATTATTTAAGGATGTAATTTATGGTGGTGCTGTAATAAATTTCATTTCATTGCAGAATAGTTGTTTACCAAAGATAAAAAAAAAAGATCATTTTTTTTTGTCTCTCATCTGCGTCTTACATGACTTTGATATGATTTTCATCTTCAGGCGATGAGGCCCAGCTCTTTGTAGGTGGCCTCAAAGTCGGCATGGACAACAGCCATCATTCCCTTCAGGGCTTGCTGCCCATCGGCATCGAGTTCTGCCTTCTCCTTTATGATTTCAGCAGCCACATCAATCAGCAACTGAGGAGAAAATACAAATAAAAATCGCACAAACTTCTTTAAAATCAGGTTGGAGGACACAAAAAAGATGAAATGGAAGAGATGCAACTTCTAGTTAAACAGACTGTGGGAAAAAAGGTCACACCACAGTGGTCTACTTAAATTAAAACTTTCCCTCATGTACAAAATCAAGTTTATCAAATGGGATCTTGAGCTTCTCTGCATGGCTTTTGGCTACAGGTTTGAGGATGGTAGCGTGGTTGCCTCCGGCCTTCAGCACCTCACCCAGTTTCTTAAGCACGGCAGAACCCAGGGCAGTAACATCTGCATTACTAGCCAGGTCAGCCTGGGCGATGTCAGCAAACTTGGGGAACATCTTCTGGGTATTTGGGTGCTTCTTGAATAAACTGAGAAGAAAGGAAGTGTGAAAAACAGGGCTGTGGTACCACTAAGGACACTGAGCGCATGTCCTCACACTGACAAATAAAACTTACAGAAGTTATGATGGAACAGTTAAGTGACGAAATAACCTACAGAAAAGAATAATCTTATCTTGTTGGAGCCAATCACCGGGTCATAAACAGGCTCCCATGGCCATCGTAGTCTGCCTCCACTTTACCCCAATGTTTAACCAATATGCCATAGTCAGCCATGGTCTGAGGAGATGAAGAGACATGTCTGGAAAACACCAATATGAGAACTGATGACCGATTCTGCTCGAGAAATTAGAGAACAATCAGAGTAAAGCAAAGTCATAACAAGGTCACACCTCCTTTTCACACCTACTTTTTTTTAATACATTTAATTTGATGGCCAGTAGCCAGAAATTATAAAACTAAAGGGCAAGTCATTACAAGGAATAGATGAATACTTCTACTACCTCAGTTGTTCTCATGTAGTCGGTCACATAACCGCTGTGTAGCCCTGCATGACTCGTGTGAAGTTAAATCAGATTTAATTTGGATACTTGGACACTTTTAATTTAATGAAATAAAGATATTAAAAGCAGGGCTGATCATTTAGGCTATCTTGGTTATACTGAAACTTGGAATTGAAGGATGACTATTAAATAATTGAATGTGAGGAAACATTATACTGGCTGCTTCTGATCTAGCTGTAATAAAAACACTTTTATGAATAATATGGACTCGTGTAATGACTTAACATCAGTTCAGGGTACTAACTTTTAAGTTAGGGTACGGTCACACATGAGCGAATGCAGGTGAGTGACCACTGCCTGCCCAGACAGTTTTCATGCTGAATGGTGGCAATGCCAGGTGTTACGCACATGGAAAGCTAGCTTGCTAGCTAATGTTAGCTAGCCTGCTGATAAATAGTTTGAAATGTGATGTTACTGACTGATTGTTTTCCAATTGTTTACGCTTTATGGCTGCTTCCCGACACTGACAGACAGGCAGCATCTCTCATGTGGGGCAGTTGACAGTTTTCATGGCCAATATCATAATATTGGCTGGTTAGACACAGCAATAATCAATGTCTCCTCCACCCATAGTTCCTTGATGGCAGCAGGTTTGGCAGCCTATATACGTATATTCAATATTAAACAACTGACTACAAGCTAAAGGCTGACTCATTTCATCACACCACTTCTCCTTCCTTTCTTCCTTATGTTACTTTAGAAGTCCTTCATCTCGTCTGGCACAAGATGAAAGACTGCGGGTGCGCACCTTGGTAGTGTACACGGTGCAGTAACCCTGCCCAATTCAAGCCCAGGGAAAGAATGAGAAATTACAGCCCAGCCCGCCCGAAACCTAGCTGGCCCAATCTAGTTTGGACAGAGAATCAGAGCTCTAATGCAGTCTATAGACCGTATGGAGATGCAAGACAGATTCGAGGAGAAAACTACAGAGAAGAGAACAGAACAGAGAAATGTGGATTACAATAAGGTGTGCTATTTCAGTACCATTATCGTTAAACAGTGACCTCATGATATTCATTATATTTATTTGTTATTTATCATTATTATTCATATTGAATTACTTGCTGATGGTAATGTGACCTGATCTTACATCACCATCCTCCTCTCTTTCTCGCTCCTCCTCTGCTCTTCACACTTTAGTGTGCCCGACATAGCCAACAATATGGTTAGCTAGCTTACACACTACAGAACAACATCCATGTGCACCTCAGAGTCCCAGGTCACGATCTGTCAAATGACACACATACACACATGCAGAGAGAGACTGACTGACATCGGTAATTGTATATGCATAGAGCTGAGCTCAGCTATATCTAGTTGGTACCGCTCCACCTTCTACACCAACTCCACTTCCTTCTCCACCAAAGAGGTAACATTCCATGTCCCTAGAGCTGGTTGTCAATGCCAGGGGCCAGTGTGCCAGGGTTCCCGGCCCCAATGCCTATCCCTGTGGATGGTGGGCCCACAGTGCAGCAGCTCCATGATGTTTGTTCAGGCTAAGCCCCATGGCCCAAAGCCCAGCCACCAGATGCTTGCCAGCCAGCTGCCCCCAGCTCTGGCTCCAGAAAGGGGCTCCAGTTTCCTCATACTGGGTGAGCCATTCAAGCTCCTTTTAAGTCATGTCATTGGGGTTATTTGGGTCTGGCTGCTCCCCTGGGAAAAGTTTGCCTTGGACAACCAAGAGCCATTTGCCATGGACAACATAGCGCCCAGGGTCAAAGGGACACTCACATCCCTTCACTAAATTGAGATGGAGATTCTGGGGGGGGGGGGGGGGGGGGCATTGCAAAAAAATCTTGTTGAAATAGTGATGCTGAAAATAATAATGATAGAACAATGATTTTTAACTATATGACCCAACCCCACTCTCAGCTGTATAGTGCCACTGGGCATCCAAGCTAAGGAGACAAACATTTCATGATCCAAGATGTATATTAAAGCTATAGTGCGTAACTTCTGTCGCCTCCCAGCGGATAATGCGTTATTACAACTAATAAGCCGGCGGCACTTCCATGTACACAGAGTAACACTTGCCTTTGTGGTAGGATCCACTTCTGAACTGTGTCTCGGCCGCTTCTCCACCACGTTGCTTTCTCTTTCTACCTGCGCTCTACCTCTGCTATGACACTCTCCGCTCTTCCTCCCCCTCCCTTCTTGTTGTGAGGAAGCATTTCCTGTGCACCAGCGCGGCAATGTCGCCGGTCGACACGCAAACTAAAAATGATATATATTGAAAAATACCACGAGATGTTAGAGGAGCCGATC